TCGAATTTTTTCCCATCGTAGTACTATGACCATGGGCTACCAGTGTGGCAAGTTTCAAGTCAAAATTCGAAAGTTGGATTTTGCTCGAAATCCAAGCTCTATAGGCAAAAACTGACTAAAAATTCAATATCTCAGCAACAAAGCACCATGGGGATGAACCAACTTAGGGTATTTCACTACTTACTGAGGTCTACAAGATACAAGTAGTCCGAGTTCAAAATCGATTTATAACCTCAAGAGGTTCCCTCGTCAGAAGTTATTCAAAAAACCTTGGAGTGTCTTATATTTTGAAATGGCTAGTAGTTGAATACTTCAGGATGTACAATATCTGAACTGCTTTGCATTTTACGTCTAAAAGAATCTAGAGAACTCTGTGATTTTAACTGAACTAGTTCTGATGTATTTTGAATAAGTTATGAACTTTTTAACATTAGCTGAAAACAGCCGGAAAAGACTAGTTTTCGTAAAACTTAAGTTTCGCTAGATTCTAAAACTTTTTTCTAAAAACAGACATTGCAGCTTAATTCCCATTTTGTAGAGGAGACTTTGGACTATCTACCTATACAAAAAAATCAATAGACTGAGTTTGAGAAAATTCAAGCTGGTTTTCCAAAGATTCTCCCAAAAAAGAGATCTTTGAAAATTTTTCCGAAAACCGATTTTGCTTGTGGAAGAATAGCTTCAGATGTCTAGTTTCCAAAACTGGAGACTACAGGTCTCTATCTTCATTTCTCTCTGAGTTATTTAAGAAGATGGCAACCTGCATCAAGGGCGGGCCGGCAAAATATTTTTAGGGTGACAATAAATATTTTAGAGTAGTCCACACACAAACGTGCAGTAGTAACAGATAACGGATTTCCATTACCCATTATCGGTAACAAGTAAGGGATTTCGTACTGGTAATAGGTAACAGGTTGCCGTTACCCATTACAGTAATGATAACGGGAAAGTGCCACCGAGCCTCTGGTGAAGAATAAAAGCTGAATGTTTTAAGTCTTAATTTCTTTCTATTAGGGAGGAAAGTTAAAAGTCTTACCAAAAATGTCTCGTCATGCCGTTTTTTTACAGTTTCTTTTTTCGCCTAAAAGTCTACTGAAATTACACTTCTCTTACATGAATCAATAATCCTTTTGAAACTGTGTCTAATCATACACATAAATCGTCGTTATTTATTGTCTGTCTAAGAATTAAAATTCGAATTTCCAAATAGGCGTGCCTATTTGGAACGCTTAGGCGTTTCTATCTTCTACGTCTGGATTCTCGTAAATCGATCTGAAAAACATTGGTAAAACTATACGGCAAGTCAAGTAAGGCTCATATTAGAGCCTAACCTAAACCAAAGAAATTTTATGACTTTTAAAAAAGTTCTTAGAAAAGGAGAAACCCAAAAAGTTTCTTTTAATGGAAAGATTAAGTAAATTAACTTTCGATAATATAGACCAATAGATTTCATTGTCTGTTTAGGTTCATCTGCTTTCGTTTTTTGAATAAATGCTTTATTTATTCAGTGTATGAGTTTTAAGTGAAAGAGTGATAAGCTGAAAGTAAGTTAAAATGAAAATTTTAACTTTAATATATTATTTCTAAATAGTGGTAGTATGCAAATTAACAGTTTTGTTGTTGTTTTGGTTTTTGTCTTTTTCCTCGATCGGACCGGACCAGCTGTAACCAGTTACAGTTGGTCCGGTCCGATCGAGGAAAAAGACATAAACCAGCCTGTCCACCGACAGACTAGTCGATAGTATTGAGACGGGTACCGATCCCGGTTCAAAAATTTTAGACCGATTATGTCTATGATACAAACAGCAAAAACAGTTTAGCCTTTCCAAACAAAAACTTTTGCTTTTAATTCATTTAGATCAATCTCTGGTCCCTGTTCGCTTACATCAATAGTAAAACCGTCAATTAGATCCAACCATTTTCCTGCTTGTGGCCAATGTTCAATTCGATATTTTCTGTAACAGTTGATTGATGAAAAATTGAGTACAACTACCACTCGTTCACCCTCATTTGTCCATCTGACATAGGCCAATATCTGATTATCGATATGCTCATAGAAAAACGATAAATTATCGGATTTTAATGCGTTTGAACTCTTTCGAAAACCGATTAGACAACAATACAAATCAAGTAGAGAATGATTTGGACGATTATTTGGCAATGACCAGTCCAATTTCAGTACTGTTTTCGTCTCTTCCTTCTTTTTCGATTCACCAAATTCATCTCCCATAAATATCATCGGCACACCCCAACATGTCAGCAGTATAACAGCGGCGAATTTTAATCGGTTAAACGCTTGACGATCGAAATATTTTAGTTTATCGGCTAACCAATGAATGAGTCGATAATTATCGTGACAGGCCCAGAACGTAACACAATTTGTTATTTTCTCATATGACTCTTTTCCATCGTATCTCGGATCGATCATTGATTTCATTTTTTCAGCTTCTAATTGATTAACATTGGAAAACTGTTCAACAATATTCGGACCCACACCAACCCAGACACCATCGAGCGGCCCGTTTGGTTTACACATTTTCGATGTGGCGGGTACATATTCGGCGACAGTATAAAAATTTTGTTTCAGCTCTTTACTAAGGCGATCGAAATGTCTCAAAACATCGTGATTATCGATTTGTTTCGTTGCATCGAATCTAACAATATAAAAAGAGTCGTGATCGATGAAAATCGCTATAATCTAATGATTAAATGTTTAGTGCCTATTTGACTATTGTCTAAGCAGTACAATTGATAGCTTTTAAACCTAGTTTTAAGAGTATGTGTAGAAAACTGACACTTAACTGTGGAAACACAATTTTGAAAACACATAGAGTTGCTCAAAATTTCGACCCTGCTGTCGTTTCTTTAGTATTCAAAGAATATCTTCGCTGTTATTTGTAATCAACATGAAACTATATCAAATCAGATGTTTCTCCAGTTTTTCCAGAAATTGTCTTTTCATCTCAAAAAATCTTCCAAAAACCTATGTTTGTGACCTCGTTCTAGCATCTCGATGTTAGCTTTTCTATTCGAGACGTTAGCGGTCATATCCTTGTTCTGGAAGGAAAGGTGCAAGATTAGCAAAAGCGGGCAAATATGTTCACCCGCTTTCGCACGTCTGCGTAATGAGCAAGATGCTTTAACTCCGCACAGATTATTACAAAACTACTGAACTTCCTTGGTACAGCACGCATAAAGACTTATAGAAAGAATGAGTGTTCAGCGATGCGAAGATATTTCACGGTCTGGCATACCGACGGTAACTTAGATCAGCATACGTACTGACGGATGGTAGATGAATTTAATGTTGTTCTTAAGCTTACACTCTCTACTCGGCTGGAGTCTATAACACAAAGGCATTACCTAATGCTACAGTCTACGCATAGCATTCCTTTTCTAAAGAATCCGCTACTTCTAGCTATACTCGCAAGGTGTCGCATAACATTGACTGTCCACCATTTTTTCGAGAGCGCCTACTGCGTGGAAAAATAGGTTGTTACAGCTTTTTCAACTACAGAACGATGCATTATTTCGTCACGAAAAAAGCATACCTTATGCCATCAATATGATATTCTTGAATATAAAATCGAATGACATCACTGATGAATAGCCATGCCGGTTTAATACCATTTTCTTCATGTTCATAATTGAATTCCGGTCCCCAAACTTCGTTAGGATGATCAGGATGATGTAGACCCGTGTAATACCAAAACCCACGATCTATTTTTGTTAACGGACATTCACCATGTGAATGATTAAAAACACAGTCGATCATCACTCGCATTCCGCGTTGGTGACATTCATCGACAAACTGTTTTAAATCTTCACTTCGACCATAACTCGATTGTACAGAGAAAAAATGTCGTGTTACATATCCCCAATCATGACCTTGCCAGAATAAGTACATAAATAATTCTTTTACAGACGACAATATATTCGAATGGCAGTTCATCGCGGTCTCCCTAAGTTAGCTTTAAGGAGATCCACCAGAGAACAGGTAAGGGACAGTTCAACTATACCAGAAAAAACATATCTTATCAAAGTTTGGATATCTAGCCACTGATGTCAGCTCAATGTTTTCGCTTTGTAGCCAGCATTACATGCTATTCGCTTATGATTAGTCAAAAAATTCCAAACGCGCTCTGAGAACTCCTATTAAGATTTTTCAAGTAATTTCCATATCAGAGGTCTGTTTCCTTTATATTGTAGCAAACAAACTTAAAGTGAGAGAGCTGAGAATCCTCCATCATCCGCTGCTGCAGTAACGAGCAGTCAATGGGTGAAAATTTGAAAAGAAATCATTTCTTTTTATCATTTTCTTCCATTATAATCGAATAGTCACTTTCTGTAACGCTGAATATTCAGCAGAGAGACTGATTAAATATTTTCCAAAGATAAACCGCGAGATACGGCTGTAACAAGAATTTGAGTCATATCAAAATATCCATTAGAACAAAATATAATCACAAACTGTTCCAAAGTAAAGAGCGACGCCGTTACAGTGAAAAGTAGCTTGTAAAAACGATGAGTCATCGATCTTTAGCTACCGATTGATCGTCAGACAAAGAGCATTATGGGTATAGTATGCTTAACAGTGCGAAGGAGACGATCAGACGTGAAAGTTTATCGTCGAATGGAACTATTATTCTCCAATGCGATTTATTGTAGTACGTTTAAGTATTAAACGACAGATATGTTTAATTTTCAAAACGATGTATAAGAAACTATCTGAAGGATACTAGACCGTACATGGCGCAAAAGACTAATGCGTTGCAGTTAGCAGCAGTCCAGTCGGAGTTTTACGATCAGATCCGAAGGGTCTATATCCACAAATTAGTCATCGCTTACAGCGAAATATAACAGAGATCTTCGACTTTCATCAAAGATAGCTAAAACACCCTTGCGCAATAGAGACGTTGGGAAAATTCTCTATTTTCAACTGCAGAAATTCTTTAAGTGGACGTACTTTCTAGGAAAATATTCGCCCAGAAGCCCCTCTATGGACCGTCCTCATCAATAATCTCTTTACACTAGTAAGATTTTCAGAATATCTTTTCCAGCAATGCAAAGATGGACCTCAAATCTACTTCGAAGGAAAGTTTTTTGAAAAGATTTCTATTGTGAAAGGTCTATTGTCAGGTTTTAGCTATCGATTCTAAAACCATCCATCTCTATCGATTTTTGTTAAAAGTATTCAGAAAATAACTATCGACATCTTATATAACTATCGAGACATCTTATTATGAACAGAAATGTTTACTCTACATGAATATTTATATGAAAGTTGTTGAAAGTTCGTCAAAGAACGAAACATATGTAGGAACCGGAAAAATCAGCAATTTTGAGGCAACAATTAATAAAAAAGAGTAACGGTACAAATTGAAAAATGCACTGTCTACCTATAGATGACCACTCGGTTCAGAGCGCGTTATACAGCCTCGATTTAAATATTCTTAAAAAGATTAATGCTATTTAATCCTTCAGAATATTGTCACCTGCACAAATAATTTAATGTAATTACCTTCATCAGCTTCAAAAACTGGCATGAGTTGAATGCAATTGATACCCAGTGTTGAAAGATAATCTAATTTGTTTATGGCCGATTGAAATGTTCCTTCCTCTGTGAAATCGGCGACGAATACTTCATAAATTACTAAATCTCTATTTTCCACAGGTAATTCTTTGCTATCATCATATTTCCATTCATATGTATCCACTATACGTTTTCCATTTTGAATTCGAATAAGAGAAACCTGCCGTTTGATATCAACGCGAGTAGCATATGGATCAATAATATCCTGCTCGCCGTCTTCGATTCGATATTTATACTCGTACTCGCCATCGTCTAAATCAACGTTGACATGAAAATATCCATCGTCGTGTTTGGTCATCGAAACTTTGTTCCATGCAGAAAACGAACCGATTAATGATATTTGTTTTGAAACATTGGGTGCAAACAATTTGAACTCAATCGATGAGGGCATTATTCGTGTTAGTATGGTTTTATGTATGTTGCACAACAGTATATAACTACAGAAAGCTTGACAATAACCTTGAATAAAAAAAATGAAGGAAGGAAAGAAAAGAAAAAAAGAAGGAAAGAAAAGAAAAGACACATTTTTCTCGCTCACGTGTATCGACGCGTGGTCAAGGTGATGTGTGCAAATAGTGAGAGATAAAATTATATCGAATACTTGAAGAACTTGAATGGGACGTTTGAAATTGACCGAGAAGTGAAAACTGCTGCAGCTAAAATGTCAAAAACAATCTCGAAAACACCATTCTAAAGGGTCCTCCTCCTTCTTTGTTGCTGAAAACTCCAGTTCTCATTCGGTCACATTATGACCCCTAGAAAAAATGGTCTGAACGAGTCGAAATTTTTACCACAGACACTCTAGACCCTATCTCAGGTTCTACATTTTTTCTTTCAAAAAATATGAGGCTTCACGCCGTCTTTACGTCTCTATCTACGTAAAGACGTCAAAGCGTAAAGGTGTAATGACTTTCGTTACTTTGAACACCGTGCAACGTCTACGCTTGTCCGAAGTCGTAACGCTATAACGCTCTCGAAATGTATGAAAAATATGCTTCCTTCATAATTTTTGTCCATGCTAACACATTTTTCCTTCATTCAACGTGTACATGAAATTTTGGGATCAAGAGTTGCTCTTACTTTATTTTGAACTTCGAACAGATACTCTGCTGCGAAATATAATTCTTCACAGGGCAATTCCTGCAATTACCCTGCTGGAGGCCCGCTAATGACCTGCATTATATTGTGGGATGAATAATAGTTTTAATAACCGTCTATCACACATGACTATGATATATATTCTACCCAGGTCCAAGGATTAGATAACAAGATCTTGGAAGATCTTACAAGATCATATACGATCTTGGGTGATCGTATAATAAGAAATCATAAGATTTCAAAAGATCTTAT